ATCTCTCTCGTGGCATTGTGACCATGCATCTCTCTCGTGGCATTGTGACCGAGCATGTCTCTCGTTGTGTAGCGACCGTGAATCTCTCTGGTAGCGTTGCGACCGAGCATCTCTCTCGTGGCATTGTGACCGAGCATCTCTCTGGTAGCGTTGCGACCGGGAATCTCTCTCGTAGCGTTGCGACCACGCACCTGTCTCGTTGCGTTGTGACCATGCATCTCCCTCATAGCGTTGTGACCGAGCATGTCTCTCGTGGCATTGTGATCGAGCATCTCTCTCGTCGCCTTGCGACTGAGCATCTCTCTCGTGGCGTTGCGACCATGGCAAATGAGCAATCAGAGCTCTGTTTGTTCATTTGAGGGATAATAAGCATTGCATTGACTGGGATAATGCCTCCTCAATATTACCTTGTAATTCAATTGACAGTAGGAACATTATAGAATCTAGTTTCATTAAACATACCGAATCCGTCAACATGAATTTGAGTAATGGTATGTACAAATTGGATAATTCCGTAAGTAAGAGGATTTGTAATCAGGTGAGAAGGTTGGTTCAGCTAACCCTCTGACCTGACTACCTACTGCTGCGGTGCTTTTGTGAAGATTAGTAGGGTCATTACCTATACCTGACCACTGTGGACTTGATCTCACCCTCCTCTGTATATATATATATATATATATGTAACCTCGCATATCCTAGCTGGATTTGGTAAAATGCTACTCTCCGACCACAGAGTTGGCACGGGCAATCCACAGTAGAGGTTCAAGGCGCTGAAGGTAGGACGATAGAAAGGCTTTGTGTGAAATATGACAAAGTCTGGGAATTTTGTTGTCAGTCTGTACTCACTCCTGAGGATGTGAGTTACACGAAAGCACTTGGGAACTTCGTGTTTTTTTGTTTCCTATGTGGTTATATATATATATATATATATATATATATATATATATATATATATATATATATATATATATATATATATATATATATATATATATATATATTTATATATATATATATATATATATAACCTCGCATATCCTAGCTGGATTTGGTAAAATGCTACTCTCCGACCACAGAGTTGGCACGGGCAATCCACAGTAGAGGTTCAAGGCGCTGAAGGTAGCACGATAGAAAGGCTTTGTGTGAAATATGACAAAGTCTGGGAATTTTGTTGTCATTGTAGCGCGTTGGTATCGATACCTGTTCACACTCAGAGGTCGAGGGTTCGAATCCTGGCTGGTGAGGTCTTTATTGTATATATATATATATATATATATATATATATATATATATATATATATATATATATATATATATATATATATATTTTTTTTTTTTTTTTTTTTAAGTGGCACACTTTCACCGTGTAGGGATCACACGCCTACATAGGGAGGGTTTGAAATATATCTAACTCACTCCTGTGATTTTGAGGAGGTGAGGAGTTATGAGGGAAGTGGTCGATTTTTTTGATTGTGGTGGGAAGCTCTGTGAGAGAATGAATTATCTTCCCAGCTTTGGCCGAAGAATAATGTAACCTGACTCCTCAAACACAGTGAATGGTGTCACTGGTTACCCCTTTCCAAGGTTCCAATGGGATCCACACATGCGTGTGTCGAATGGTTCAACCATTTTGCGATGTATTCGTCAAAACCTTGGATGTTATTTCATTTTCTCACTGTACCAGTCTTTCTATTTTAATGTTCTGTATGTACGTTGCCGATAACACGCCGTCATTCCTATGAGACTCACTTTCTCTTCACACTTCAACTTATCATTATTATTATTTTTTTTTTACATTTATGGTAACCCTTTGAGGATGATGGTTTAACCCGATGGGAATGATGTTTTAACCCTTTGAAGATAATGAGTTAACCTTATTGGAATGATGTTTTAACCCTTTGAAGAAATGATTTAACCCTTTTAGAACGATAGTTTAATCCTTTGATGATTATCCTTTAACCCTTAAGGCTAATAATATTGATGGCTTATGAACCTTTCGTCTTCAACGTGTCAAGACTCCATGACTATTTCTGCATCTATTCTCAACTAAAGTCTGTATATTTTCGAACAGGATAAATGTATCTGTTTGAACATGCAGGTATTTGGCCAATTGGAGTTTGATAATGAGGAACTGATGGTGTCGATAAAGGATAATTCCGGGAGCAGACTGAAGAAAGCCATACACGTGTTCTTCACCTTCATACTCCCCACCATCTTTACCAGTGTCTGTTACGTCCACATGTACATTAAGGTAAACTCTCTCTCTCTCTCTCTCTCTCTCTCTCTCTCTCTCTCTCTCTCTCTCTCTCTCAATTAAGTGTTTATTTAATCCCTTCCACAAACGCATAACAAAGTTTTCAAAACCTGAATTCTCATACAACCAAAATACAAAACCGTAAACCACACGATGCGATTAAAAGAAATGGCTAAGAATATTTTATGAACTGTCATCATGATCTATTTACAAATATTTTTGTTTTATTTACCTAACTGTCCAAGTTAAAATCTTTGAAATATACTGAACATTTTCGAGGTTTTCAGTTTTTGTCGTTTTCAGTGTTTCAGTGGCCAGGGTCTTTGTACCGTTATTAATATAAAGTTTCTAGACCTAAAACAACTTTTTAGACTGAGAGAGTATTGTAACATTCCTCGAGATTTTTTCTTTCTAAATTAATATTTTTGATGTGGGCAGGTGCGCCATTCAAGAGAGGCGAGGCTGGGCCGACGTCGATGCAAGAGTGTTACTGAGATTGCTGAAGACAATGTCCTTCGCCAGTGGGACGATCATGTCACCCGCACCATCTTCGTCATCTTTGTCGTGCTGTTATCCTGTAGTTTGCCGCACATAATCATCCACATCTATCACCTCCACAACAAGTTTCCTAGCGTCTGGGTCCTCCTTCACTTAATCTTCTGGCTCCAGTTCTGCGTCGACCCCATAGTGTATGTGACCATGAGCCAACAGTACCGCAACGCCACCCTTCAATTCCTCTCTAACTTCTGTTCTTATTTCGCCGTCTTTCAGGTCTCTGACTCGGAGGTGAAATCTGAACCCAAAAGTGATCTGAACAATGATCACGCCTTGCAGATTCAGGCGACCTCTAAGAGGGCCATGACACCTCTCCCGAAAGTTAAATTCTCAACTGAATTACATGTATAAAGTGTGTGTGCGTATATATATATATATATATATATATATATATATATATATATATATATATATATATATATATATATATATATATATATATATATATATATAAAGAAAAACAAAGTTCCCAAGCGCCATGTAATTAAGGCTTGGGAATTTCTTGTTTTCTTCTTTCCTTGTATGTCAGCATATACCTAGATCACGCACCTACAGTGATTTACTTGCATATATATATATATATATATATATATATATATATATATATATATATATATATATATATATATATATATATATATATATATATATATATATATATATATATATATATATATTTTTTTTTTTTTTTACGTTTAGTATTCAGTGAAGCTCAATAAGTTAGGCTGTGATGTCACTTTGAATTATCGTGCATCAACAGTTAAGATAATATCAGTGTTTCTACATGTTATAAGTGAGACATCTACTCCTTAAATATAAAGAGGTATAACTTTTGAAACAAGTAGGATACTCAAACTCGGCGAGATGATTGAATTTCTGCTGCTTCGGGTAATGTACAAAATCTTATGTAATAATTAATATTTTCACGAAAATGCTCAACTGTCTAATGCATGATCATCAGGATATCCACAAACTTCTGGAAAAACAAAATATCCCCGCTTTCATTTAGATGGAGCTGTAATTTTTTTTATTTCTACTGAGAAATATAACGACACGTTCTGAAACAGTGATTTACAGTTCAGCTTCAATTATTCACAGTTCAGGTTCAGTGATTCATACTTAATTTACAGTGATTCACAGTTCAGATATAATGACTTACTGTTCAGCTAAAATGATTCACAGGTCAGCTTCAGTGATTCACATTTCATGTTCAGTGATTCACGGTTCAGATACAGTGATTCACGGTTCAGATACAATGTGTTACAGATCTGGTGGTAATAAGAGCACGTTTGTAGCTTAACGTATGCGTAAATACGTATACATGTGCTTCTTACAATAGTTTGTTATTATTGTTTGAAAGCATTTTATATTATTGTTCCAATATGTAATTAAGCTTGAATCATATTACTGCTCTTCAACAACTAAAGTTCTTAAGATCATATACTAGTAAGGATTAACTAGTTATCTATATTTTGTAAATTACAAATGACTTTTGTACTTACCTTGATTGTTCAACTGAATTTAGATGCTAGGAAATAATGATACAGATGTTAATGGATAAAGCTGAAGGTAAGATGGCCACGGAAACACGGACACTGGGATGAATAACTAAAAATTTAAAAGCTGTTTCCGGAGATGCAAGTTTTAAGAGGGTTGGCTAAAACAGCCATAAAAACGTTTGGAGAATGTTCCCCAAGGGACCAAGATGGGACCACTGTGCTTCCTAATCCTGATCAACGACGCTCTGTCGGACACTCCTCACAGGTGGAAGTACGTGGATGACTGCACTGTGGGGGTTACAGTGGACAACACCTCACCGAATTACTCATAGCTACAAGGCACCCTGGACAGGCTACAGGCATGGACTAAGGAGAACAAGGTAACCATCAATCACACCAAAACCGTAGTCATGCACTTCAATACCGCCACCACTCCAGTGCAAGCTCCAGCAGTTACAGTGGGTGCCCATCCTTTCCAGTTTGTGCAGTCTGCCAAACTCCTGGGTGTAACTATAGACCACAAACTGGACTGGAAGGCCCATGTAAACAACACAATCAAGGCAGCCTCGTACCTATTCTACATGTTACGACTCGGGTCACTTGGGGCACCCACGCCAGAGCTGAGGACTATCTACAACGCCTTTATTCTCCCCAAATTAACGTATGCATCATCAGCCTGGTCGTCTTCTCTCAACTCTACCCAACAACGCCAGCTAGAGAAAGTACAGAAAAGGGCCTGCAGAATCATGCTCGGCACAGACTACTCCGGCTACAACAACGCTCTCTCCACCCTGGAAATGCCATCCCTCAGTGACCTCCACCACCAAGCACTAGCAAGGTTTGGCAGTGGACTACTGCACCATCTTCGTCATCGCCACCTCCTGCCACCAGCAGTCCCCAGCTCACCTCGTGCAGTCCGCCACTACAACAAAATTCAGCCCATAAGAGCCCGCACTGATAAATATAAGAATAGCACCATCCCATCTATTGTTAAAATAATAAACAACTCCTGATTTATGTACTGTACAGCCACCGGCTGCAACTCTATTAATAAACCGTTTATTATTGTTATTATTATTATTATTATTATTATTATTATTATTATTATACATACATACATACATACATACATACATGACGAATTGACGCATACTTACCACACTCAAACAGGGTACATGCATACAATACGTCTGAGCCGTTAGTACCTTATATCACCAATAATGTTGAAAACTCGCCATTACACAGTCACCCTGCTGCCATCACACTCCTCACTGAATACACCTCTTCATTCCGACTCGATAATTAGCAGTATGTTAAGAGGATTATAACTTTACAACGTCCTGAACTGATGAGTTTTATTCCAAAAGTTCATAATTCACAAGAGCGACACACTCATGGGAGGAATAATGACGTGATCGCGAGTGTTGCTGCCCTGCTCAAAGTCAGTGGGAGCGACCAGGCGATGTGAAAAATCAGGCGATAAGTAAAGATGTGACATAAAAAAAGATTATGCCAAAGAGAAAAGAGGAGGAAGACTGAATAAGAAAGGGAGAAAAAGGATTGGTGTACAGTGTGTGACGTCCTCGTGTGTCTATTCCGCTACCATTTCCCAGCCAAATGTCAATACAAACTTGGTGTGTTTAGTTTGACTTTAGGTGCGGAAGTTTGTCCCGTTTGAAGGATGCGATCAGGCGAGGAAGTCCGCTGATGAACTAAGACAATTACTGCCTGTACACAACTTTTTTTCACAGTATTCTTTATTGCTTTATGAACCAATGTTATGACCCCCAAAGGAGTCTCAGCTGCGGAGTTCTCATAGCCAGTAATGGGAGTTCTAGAAACTAAAAAAAAAATATAGATGTTCCTAACATTGATGAAAGAAACCGGTCGCAGCCTTCACAGAGAGGGAAGAAACCAACAGCTCCTTCCACTGCTGGAATTTGATTTGCTTCATTTTGTTTTGTGGAGCTTCTGAATGAAAACACATTAATACCCGGACACTGGGGATTCCCTGTAAGAAACCATGGATTTTTACTGATGCACGTTGATAATCATATGCAAGTGAATGTTGTGACAGTACCAAATATTATGATCTCCTTTCCAGGTTTGAACAACAATACTTTACCGTCCTCGCTACTTGTCATCTTGTTAAGCGGTCGATCAATTCTCTATTAAACACTCTTGGCAGGTGTTGGAGCTGGCCTGTACTATACGGACTCTCAAATATACCTAAACATGTTCGGAAAATATACGATTAAAGTTCGTTTCGGTTATTTCGATGTAATTTTGTTTCTAATATAAAATTGTGTGCCATATTCATTTATGTCCATTTTTTTTTTGTGGAAATGTCTAAAAAAAACTAATAATCGAAAGTAATGGTTTCTCGTCATGATAATAAATTAGATCCTAATTAGGCCTAACCTACCCAAATCTGACCTAACATAACCTAAACTAACCTAACTAAACCCATACCAAACATAACTCAATCTAACCAACCCTAACCTTAAAAAAACCTAACTAAACATAACCAAACCAAACCAAACCTAATTTAACCAAACCAGATCTAACATTAAATAATCATACTGTATGTTAATTGCGTCTCTTTTATGAAGACATAGAGATTACTGCATTGACCACAGTTTGCAGTTTTTCTAAGAATGACATGTTTCAGAAAAACTTCCATTGTGACATATTTGTTCGAGTTTTGTTTTGATTTCATAATTTTCACACATCCATGTTTTATAAGATGGAAGGTGTAACTAAAATATAATAACCAGGAAGCACGGAATATTAGTATTCACCGCTGATTGACTGAGTCAGACCCTTATCGAAGTTGATTGGCTAAACAGTCAACATGGGGCAGCGGATTCGGGAAAATATCCCAGAATTTTTCTGAACATGAATTCATGTAAATATTATATATTTTTCATTTGCGCAAACTTTTGAGCATATGTCATGAGTGGTATTTTTCCCAAAGTCTTTTTTCAAATCACCGAAACGGGCATTAATCACACATTAACCACGTGTTCCACTTTTCTAAAGTTTGGACTTATTGGAGCTCACACTTGGAGCAGTTACAAATAATAATTCACAACTAACCTTATATCACCAATATTGATAAAAACTCACCATTAATAGATATACATTAAATCAGTAAGCAAGTTATTCCGATAACTAAAGACGTGTTTTGGACTTCAGACTACTCGGTGCAGTTACTCTATACAAAATTAATATATATATATATATATATATATATATATATATATATATATATATATATATATATATATATATATATATATATATATATATATATATATACCTCGGTGTATACGCCCTTTATGTTTGGACCTTCAGTAGCTTTTATTTTCATTGCACTGAACATAAGACAAGAGTAAAGCACTCAAATGCTCCCATTTCGATGATTTTTGCATTACAGGATTTTGGGGTCCCGCAATATTGTACCGATTGCACCTATGTTAAACACGTATCTGCTGAGAACAGTTTATTTTTTTTAATTGAAAGCTCATAGGATAAAGTCCAGATAAGGCTGAATAATAAACAACTGATCTTAGTTGCGTAAAATCATAGACAATAGGTAACACACACACCAGTTATATCATTTAAGTATAAGATCAGAAACAATAAGTAACACATCAGGTATAAGTTACTTAACAACATAAAAAAGTAACATATAAGGCCTAAGTCACACAAAGTAGACCACGGGTAACAAGTAACACACCAGGTATAAATTAGCCAAGTGTCCCAAAGCGACCATAGGGTCGATCAGCCTAATGGCTACAGAGACCCTAAACAACTTTACTGCCTAAACCAATTACGAGGTCCCGTGTGTG